AATGGCGTGTCGAATTTCAGAAGGGAGAACATTGGGAACGACATATCCATCCTGTGGAATTTGGTATGTCAGCAAGTGGACATGGCTATTGAAGAGATTTGAGTAGAAGTCATGGATAATCTTCTCCATTGCCATTCTGGAGGATGTGATGTATCTTCATCTTCTGGAATTGTCATACCATATTTGATAGGGTTCAAATATGGTAACACCTACAAGGGTGATTAGAGGTCGCCCCAAAAGCCTCTATCCCTCTCGGAAAGACTGGCAAGCTACCGAGAGTATTCCACCTGCGCCGAAAAGCCTGGCAAGCTATCCGTTGTGTATTCGATATGCCAAAACCAGTAACTACAACTGGTCTCATTTACCTGACCCTGAAGGCTTCACCAACATGGCAGCACTGAGAAGGATGAGAAAGGAGAGCCCGACAAAATCTCAAGGGCGAACTAGGCTGCCACAACGAAGGAAGACAAAAATGATCATCTGTACTTTCAATGCACGTTCGCTAGCATCAGATGCATCCATCGAGGACATGATGGTACAAGCGCGAATGATCAAGTACGACATCATTGGTCTGACCGAGACAAGAAGGCACGAATCTCATTATGCCATTTTCAACACTGGAGAATAATTGTTCCTTGGAACATGCAATGAAAGAGGTGTTGGAGGCGGAGGTGTCCTTATCAACACAATCTTGGCCATGAGCATTGATGCATTTGAATGCCTAACAACCTGAATCGGAAGTTTGCATTTGAATAGATGTGGCTCACTGCCTGCAGTTTCTATCTTTGTTGTCTATGCACCAACATCTCATTATGATGAAAGAGAAATCAAGAAGTTCTACATGGAGCTGGAGAAGTTCTATAAAGAAGACCACACCTTCTACAAGATCATTGTGGGTGATTTTAATGCCAAGATAGGACCGAGAAGATCAGCTGAAGAACTTCACATCGGGATCCATGGCCTAGAATGGAACGAACAGGGTGAGAGACTATCTGAGTTCATCATGTCGACCAGGACCATCCATGGTAACTCACAGTTCCAGAAGGCAGAATCTAAACATTGGACATGGGAGTCTCCCGGTGGACAATTCCACAATGAAATAGACCACATCATATTCAATCGATGGGGTTGCCTGACCGATGTCGCTGTTGTCCCAAAATTTCGAACGGGATCGGACCACCGTCTCCTTCGTGCAAATTTCTACTTCACAGAGTGGGGAGAAAGGGCTGCAAAGTTCAAAAAGAGAACTCCCAGAACGACCACCAACTGGGAACTCTTTGGCACTATTGCGGCAACATGGGAAGATGCCATTGTTGACAACATTGACGAGGAATACGATCGACTGGTTCAGCACCTCCATGAATGTGCGAGGAACGCCAAGAGAGAGATAGCCACAAAAAATCGCCTATCTTCGAAAACTCTTGAGCTAATTCGCCAGCGTGGTTTGGCGCATGTCTCAGGCAACCGCAAGCTAACATCTGAGCTCGCAAAGCAGTGCAGAGATGCGATCAAGGAAGACCTCAAAGAGAGAAGAGCAGAAGTACTGGTAGATGCGGCAGAAGCTGGGAAAAGTATTTGTAACACCCGCCCGTCCTTCGCCAACTACAAGACCAAGATGACTGCCCTCCGACGTCCTGATGGATCCCTCACATCCTCCAGAACAGTTAAATATTTCTGGTTATTAAAAAGTATATAAATATTCTCAGTGAAATAACATTAATGGGAAATTCATTATTGATCACATTAATATGATCAATGCTGGTGCTCCTTTGAATTTTTATGAGCCTTCTGATTACAGCTAATGTTAGACTTTCATTGTAGCCTTTTCATCACATGTTGGAGTGGTTGGCAGAGATGGTTGGAAAATCTGAGGTGTAATTGGATCTCTCTCTCTTTCTTTCTCTCCACATCTAAGTTTGACATTACTTCTTTTTGCTAATCTCCAAGTAAAGAAAATTTAATTTTAGGTGCTATATTAGAAAACCTATTGCACATATCTAAGCAGAAGCTCCCAAGCTTACGAAGATCTAACTTTAGGAGTCACAAAGCATTCCTTGTTAGGTATCGATTGAATAAAGAATTGCATACTGCTGGTATTCTAGAGCTGGACCAATACCTTCCCTCTGTGTAGGAATTAGAAGTATGTCCTAGGGGAAAAAAGTAATTGGTGGCTGTCTTCATAGAGAAAAGAATATTACATAGTAATGTGATTGTTTGTGGCTATAAATGTACCTAAAATAAATTATTAACTGTAATCACAGATTTTTATGGTTAGAACTTCAAAATATCTTCAAATCTACTTTAATATTCTATTGTTTTCATTATCCTAAAACCAATTTGTGGAGTTTTCAAATATTTGATGAATTTTCAGTCAAATTTTATTTTGAAAATGTAAATTAGGATACTTTCAGAAGACTTTTTTGGCTGCAGCCACAAAGATAAAACTTTTTGTGCATATGTGTGAAATAAAGTAGTTTTAAGAAATTTACCTAGAGAAATGTAAGGGTACACGTATGTGTGTCTGTATGTGTGTGTATGTGTGTGTGTGGTATACTTATATAAGTATACATATATAAGAAATATATATGTTAAAATATATGCATATATACCTATGTATGTTTGCATATATATATTAGATATATTAAAAAGAGAACAGAGTCTTCTCTGTAGAGGAGAAGGGGATAGTGCCCCTCTCAAGTGGAAATGCATGCCAATCTTTAGGGCGGAGAATGAATCCTCAAGCCGTTGCAAAGTTAGTTTAATCAAACGGTATCTTTCATATTGTCTTGTATGGAGTTCTCTGCAAATAGAAAAGTTAATAAGAGTATTGTCATAAGGGAAAAAAATCACAGACATTATATGATTCTTTGATGTTATTATCCTAACCTTTAAATTCTCTTGAAGCTTCTTGACCTTCCTTTCAAAGTGCTTACCCTTCTTCGTGAGGTGCCTGTTTCTGTCCTTGGGTACTGGCTTATTTTCTCCATCTCCAAAAGAGCTTTCAGTGGTACATCTTCAACATGCCTTTGAGCTCTTCAGGGCTAGGCAATTTCTTTCTAGTTTTATTAATTCCCAAAACTCTTGGAGAATTCCTTCAAGAATTCCCTTTCAATTTCCCTCAACATCCCAAGGATATTTTGACCCAGTAATTTCAGTACTAGATGCATTACACAGCATTAATGAATATGTAATTTCCATCCAGACAATTGTAGGCAACTCTCTTAAAAAAGCAAAAATATTAAAGTATCCAAATTCTCATCAGATATGAATGGGAAATATTTAAATATTATATATTCATATAATTAAAAATAAACAGGAATAAGCTCACTACAACATATGCAACGTCATGTAAATCTCATAAATAGAATATCGAATATAGAAGACCAGACACATCCAAAGGACACATGATATGACTTTACTTAAATCCATCTCTAAGGAACAAAACTAACCTGTAGCAGGATATTCATTGGATAAGATAAGATAAAGCCCTCCCGTTGATCGTCGATTTGCTCGAGTGGGCCCAGTAACGTCTCCATTGGAGACTTTGTTGTTACTGTGTCTGGCATATCGAATACTCTCGGTAGCTTGCCGGGCTCTCCGAGAGGGGCGGAGGAATCGAACTCGGGTCGGCCATGTTGGCCGCTTGTAAGGCGAACGCCCTACCCGCTGTGCTATCGCTCCAACCCATTCATTGGATACTAGTAATAATCTGTTTATTGTGATAGTCTTGGTATATTTGGTTGCTGAAACTCATCAGCTTATACATAGAAAGTTGACATATATTTCTGCATGGATAGCACACTTTAAAAAAACTTAGTTAAAGCAAATAAAATCAGTCTTAACAGCTGCACAGACAGGCATCAGGCAAGATCAGCTTTCCAGTAAAGAAAGATGCAGTGCAGCTCACCCTTCCTGCTATCATTCAGTTCCTCAGTATCAGTTTGCTTCTCTTAAGGTTTCACAGTTTAGGGGACTAAATTGTCCTTTTCAGCTGTTTCTGTTTTTCACAACTCCTTCTTCCTTTCCCTTTCTATATATCTTTTTTTTGGTTTTTCAATACTTACCTATTACTTATGACTTCCAGTCCCATACCCTCTTTTTTTATCACTTTCTCTTTAAGCCACACTAAAATCATGAGACTCGGAATCTATTGTGAGTCAACATATTGTACAAGTGTTTCTTTTGGAAAAAATTTGTCACTATCAAACATACAGAAGTGTTGGCATACTCATAAGCTTTATGATGAATGGGAAAAACTGATCTCTAATGGTGATAATTGTTTCTGCCCACAGGTTTCATACTCTGAATGTAGCCAATAGAGGGACATAACAAAATTACCCTTTGGTTTAGCTGTGTTTTAAACTTAGTAAATCACAGAACTACTCTTTTACCTGTGTCGTAATATCTAGTAAATCCCACATATGTTGTAAGTGCTCAAAAAGTATTTATTTAGAAAATCAAAACCAAAGAAAACAAATAGCATCTAAATAGGTAGCCTAATGTTCTAACTCTATTTTCTCACTCAGTCCTTGATCTCATCATCCATTAATGATTGCATGTGAAATTTTGGGGTCTGCACCTTAAGTCTTCAAAGTCCATAGCACTTGAAAACTCCTTGGTACATTATTCAAAAATATTTCAAATATAAAAGACTTGGCACGGTCCTTTATTTACCTCAAAAAAAAAAAAATAGTGCATCGGCTCTAATTCAAGTGACATAGATAGTAACTGAGTCTGCTATTAAGTTGCTCCCCACCCAGGAAGTTCCTTTGTCTCTCTATTCTATTTTCCAGTAAACTTTTCTCCTTTCTAACAGCGACACCAAAACTAAAATAAAGTGAGTCCGGTTTTATTTATGGTAGTATGGTTGTACTTATCTAATTTATCTGGAGTCAAAAAGCAATATCACTCAGTGAGGATGCATTTTTTAAGAGAGTCAGTGAACTCTTCTTGTAAGTCTAGTTATAGAAAACTAATTCTGTTTAAATATTAAATTGCAGATATAAATGAATGTTCCATTGACAATGGTGGTTGTCAAGGGCAATGCTGTAATACAATTGGCAGTTATTACTGTAAATGTCAAGATGGCCTGAAGCTGGAGGAAGATGACAAAGGATGTAAAGGTAACTATTAAAACCACCTGCTCACTGATAAGGAGAGAACATCCATGTAACGCAAAAGAGAGGGTTTGTCTTTTATTCAGAGTGGGTTGAAGTGCTTGTGTTGAATGTTATAAAGAGTCAAGATCTTCCTCTTATATCTAGATTACAAAATTGTAACCCTAAGAACACTCGAAGTAGCTTATTATAGGAAACATATGATTATACGCTGGTTTGGTTGTGCCATGTTCTGATTATGGGATTTCAATTGTTCATTTAAATCCCTCAATAGAGTACATATTTTATAAAGCATTTCATTTAATTCTAAAGGAAAATAATGTTTATCATAAAATAGTCCTATGTGGCTACAATAGAAACAGAGTGGTGCAAAACTAAGCACAGTAATATTATTCTTGGCATAAAAGTAGCTTTTTATCCCAAACACCAATTTTCCATTTCCTTTTAAAACTAATTCCTTCTTTTCTTTCTTTATTAATTTGTCATTTTGTTCACTTGACAACCACTGAGTTCCTATTCAGTATCAGGCTTTATTCCATGTTCTGGGGATATAAAAATCAGTGATAACTAAATTCTTTCCTGAAGGAACTTACTGATTAGAAGCAGTGATTGAAACATAGCTGAAACCATACAGATTGGTGTTTTAAGTCATAACATAGAGTTAAGTGTGTTGTATTCAAAGAAACCTGAGCTTTAGCTTCAGCTCTGTCACTTTCAATTTGTAAAGCCTGAACATACTATTTTAACCTTTGCTTTTTCATTGGGATTGTTTCCCTGACCTTCGGGTGCTCCAATGATTCTAATGTTGTTCCTCTTGGAATCATCTCCTAGGACTCTGATTCGCTCTACAACTATTTTGAGGTCTCTTGCCATTGTTTGTTGTTGCCTATTGGCTTGGTACAGCTGATCTTCCAGCTCACTGATCCTGTCTTCAACTGTGGCCATTCTACTGTTGAGGGCAAAGACTGAGTTTTTTATTTCATCTACGCAATCTTTTATTCATGACATTTCTGTGTGTAGCTTTCCAATTTCTGCTCTCATTTCTTCCCGTAATTTCTCGATTTTTTTCTTTCCTGTACTCCTTTAATTTGCTGGATATCTGTCTCATTGTTTCATTGAGTTCATTGAACATCTTCATTACTTCATATCTGAATTCTTTCTCAGAGAAGTCCCTTAGGTGAATAGTACCTACTGAGGCTTCTGGACTCTTTTCATCATCTTCCCCCACAGAGTGCGGATTTGCATTGTTTCTTCATTTTGGTGTGGAGGTATGGAGACTGAGATGTTACTTAAGATTGCTCGGTATGAGTAGATTACCTGCGGCCACTCAAAATTAGGCCACGCCCGCTTCTGAAGAGGCCACGCCGCCATGGGTACCTGGTTTGTGTGGGGTGGGGATACAACTTGGGGGACAAAGAAGACTGGCACAGCATTGGCGATGAACAAGAAGAGGCTCAGGAATGGTGAGCATCGCAGGTTCCTAGAGGATGCCTGGGGCACGTACGTGGAGAAAGCCAAGTCCGGGGTTGGACTACTGACGGACTAACCGACCTGGGAAAGGAAGAACATCCTGAATATATTATTTTAATCTTGCTAAGAGTCTTTTGTCATCTGTAAAGTTCAATAACAGCAGATCCTAAACCCACAAAACTTGATTAGGCTATTAAATAATGCATCTAAAGTACTTAGCATAATGACAAAAAGTAATTGTTCAAATGATAACCAAATGATAACTGTGAATTGAGCCATCATTTTGCTTTCTGACGGGGCACAACTGATGGTCAGGGCTTATCCTGGATCTGTGCTGAGCTATCACTCTGGCCCCAACTGAGCTATCATTTATGAATTCAATTCTTGTTTACACTGGGTAATGCAAACAAATAATAATTTCCTGTCTTTTTTAAATAGAGACATCCAGATTTAAATATCACGTTTTGTGACTGTTCTTCTTACTTATTACTACATCACAACAAAATACTTGATCATTTTATTTTTAAAGATGCACTTTTTAATCACATGGATGTGCATTTATTTTAGCTATTTTTTAAATTATCTTACAGAAGTGTACTTGTCCTCCATCCATAACCCTCCCCTCCCCCATGCAAGAGACTTTCATGTTGGGGTATATGTGGATAAGTTGGTAGGGGGAAAAAACAAAACAATATAACATACACAACTGAAGGTGACTGAGAATAGGACCATAGTTTGGACTGGTACTTCCAAAACAAGAAAAGTTGTAGACAGGGGAAGAGAATTCATAAAATTTGTGGGAAGCAGAGTGATGGGTTGTAGGTAGGTCACTGGCACTTATAAAAGAGCATCTGCATTTAAGCATTTATTTTTATTTATTTTTAAATGAATCATTGTGAGCTATATAGTTAACAAGCTGTTTTGCTCATGATCTGGCTTCAGTCATACAATGTTCCAACACAGATCCCTCTACTAGTGTACACTCACCTCCACCAATGTCCTCTAGTTTCCCTTCCCCCACCTCTAGAAGCAGGCTGGGGTAGGGGTGACTTGAAGGGGTGGGAGGGAAATTGGAGACACTGGTGCTGGGAAATTTCACTGGTGGAGAGATGGGTGTTGGGGTATTGTATGAATGGAATGTAATCATGAACAGTTTTGTAATGCTCTATCTCATGCCGATTCAATCAAAAACATTATGTTTTTGACCTAGTCCCCCCAGAAAAAAATCCAGAATCTGGAAAAAACCCAAGTGCCCAAGAACAGATGACTGGGTCAAGAAACTATGGTGCATATGCCTTTCTGAGACAGGATTCATCCAGGTAGACTTCTCTCTCAGAAGGATATCTATGTATTTTTTATAAAGACAAGTCCTAACCAACCCAGGCCCTTTCTGATATTAATGAGGTCATGATTATTTCTGGTGAAATTGTCTGTCAGTGTTATTCCAATTACGTATTTAATGTTAGAGGTCAGAAATGGTCAAGGATCGTATGGTGTCTAAATGGAGCATGGCACAAAAACCATCAGTGACAACATAGTCTATAAGATGAGAACATTGTTAAAACCCTGCCTTTTCCTGAATGTTCTCTTTCTCTTTTTTATATATTGCCATTATTACTATCATAATGTTTAATGTATCTACAATGTTCAGAAATTATACATGGTTATCAATAAGAATGTTATACTACTAATATTATTAGACTAATAAGACATGTAATGCCCACAGACTTATTTACAAGTCATTCTCTCACATTTTTATTGACGGTTTCATTGAGTAACTGAGTTAGTCATACAAATGTCAAAATATTCAGAGAGATAATTTCCATGGTTTCTCTCACTGGCATTTATTTGTACAAAATGAACAAGAGAAAAGTCAGCATGTGAGTATTGGAAGTTTGAAATTGGCATAAAAGACTTACTACTGTTGTTAGTGTTTATTCACAGTTGAGGGGGAAGGTAAGACTAAATAGAATATGCTGCTACCAACACCCTGCTTGTTATACCACAACCCCGCCTTGAGTTGCCAGAGGAGTTCAGACCTCACAAACACCTACAGACAATCCTGCAGGGCATGGACAATAAAGTTCTAACCTTTTCCCAAGTTTCCCGGGCTTGTCTATTCTCACAGGGAAAAAAGTATGAGTAGACAGAGTGAAGCAAAGATATTTTATGTAAGAAAAAGGATAGAGACAGGAAAGAGTATCACAAAAGTGATTACATACATCAGGTTGGTATGAAGGGGGCTCACAGGACAGGAGCACATCCATAAGTTAAAGGAAACGGAGGCACATCCAGAGTAGTGGCCTTTGGATAATCTTTAAGACATCCTGTGTGCCAAAATATAATGGGAAGTAGTGGGAAAACCAGAGTAGAGAAGTGTGGATGAATCTGAAATAAGATCGAGAATGGGTTCCACAAGTTTCTTCAAAAGTGGCCTCACAGGATTTTCCTATTCTTTACACTCTTTGTAGAGTGTTATGTTGTCAGTAAGGATCCACTGAATTGTTCGTTCTTAGGTATTTAGTAGATTCCCAACGGATTAATGCTGGTTATAATTTCATGAACTTCAGCTGAATATCATTGCCAAGAATTCCTTCCCCACGCCTCATGTACCTATATGCTTCCCAATTGCCGAGTTACAGGATCAGGGGGTGATGATGGTATGGGGTAGTGCAACTCAACAGTAAAGAGCAATCTTGCTGCTCTCATATCTTATGGTTCATGCAAAAAAAAAAAGAGCCACCCTGCTCAGTATCTCATTTCTCATCATCAAACTTTTCTGTTTCACTTCTTTTAGCAACTATTTGTTAAATATGGTAAAACTACTGATTCAGCTTACTGGATAGTGGAATATGCAATGATCTCAGAGTTGTTTATGTACCTAATTATATAAAAATTTATAGAGACTATTTTGAAAATGAATGCATTCTTAAACCACTGCAAATGAGCATTTCAATGCATAAGGCCACAGTAATTAGTAATGCATGTTTATTTACCGCATGAAACAGGAAAGGTTAATTTCAACATCTATTGTACTGAATTCTATAACCATAAAAATATTCAGTTGAAAATAATTATTCTTTGAGTTGCACAAATTAAAAATGAACTTATTTGAATTTTAAAATACAGATCAACATTTTAGTGAAGATTCTATGACATCAAAGTTAACCTAAAAGCTACATAGAGGTATTTGTAATATTCTTGTTACCTAAATTTTTCTTTTCTATAGTAACAAAATTACTCTATCGCTGACCTCAGTTACATTAGTATTTAGAATACCCTGCTTGAATGAACAACAGTGACTTGAAGACTGGTTTCTGATTCACAGTGCAGATAAATTCTAATAACGCATACATTAGAGAAAGAAATACTGCCAACTTAAGTTTAGGTTTACCTGTTAACTGGATTAAGGTATTCATAGCTTTTCAAGTATGAATCCATCTACATAATAAGAAAATAATCTGTTCAAAATAAAAAGTAGAGATTGAATTTACTTTATTTTTTATCAAAGAATTCTAGATAGAATCTATGGAAAT